GCGGATGCCAGCTTGCAGAAGCTCGTTAGTATGTGTCGATTGGGAAAAGATAGCCGAGGCCCCACCCGACGCACGAACCATGTCTACATCCGTCTTCGTAACCTGAGCCAGTTCTTTGTTTCCTTACGCAACGTCTCGTAAAATGCCGAATACAGTATGTAGTAATATGATAAGTGCTCTCAGAAGTATCTTTGATATAATCATGCAGGGACAGGCGTTACCTGATCTTGTAACAATTACTATGGTGTATCACCGTAACAATCGAGTTTTCTATGACACCTGGTCAGAAAAGGCAGCTAGCGGGGACATCAACCCTTACTCCAGAAGGTTCTTCAGATATGCTTCTAACAATATTTCGGTCAGGCTACGAAGATAACTGTGCTTGTAGAGAAGTAGGGGCAGGGTAGGGATCTAAACTAAGCTGACACCCGCCAACCCCTACCCATTTATTAGCCTAAGGATAGCCAAGAGACAAGCCATTTTAGAGCTGGGCAAAGATCCATACAGAATGGGCACTTGCAGGTGCCAGGAAAGATGAGAAGATACCGTAGCAGACCCCAGGAGTCTTAAACCAGTATCTGTCGTTATCTATTGACTGGAAACAGCTGAGACCCTGAGCTGGGCGTGAAAACCTTACTTACACCACCACATGAGCAAGTAAAGGGTCCCTTGTGCATACTATACTGGCCTTGTGGTAGTTTACGTTTCCCCATTGAAAGATCCCAAAATGCGCTAAGGGGTCTCAATCGGCCCAAAATATGTGTTGCTCGCCTGTGGCATGCATTTCATCCGCGTGTTGCCGGTTCTACCAGAGGACACATGCGGGGGTTTCTCCGAAATGCTGCTATCGGAAACACTCTCGGTTAGTCCCAAGTTTCAACCATGGGCTTACAATATGTACTTTAGATTCCCCTTTCGTAAGGTGTCTTTGTACATACCTAACACGATTTGTATTCTATGACATCGTTTTCTGCCTACAAATCCCCTCACCATAACTCAGAATAACACGGTAAAGGTTAGTAACTGAGTCTTTCACATATGCAAAACGAAACCGATTTTTCAATGTCTTTGCTCTGGAACTGTTGAGTTACTTAATAGTTTGTGACAAAGACTACCCATACCAACTTTGTGAATAGAGCATCACGACAAACTAATTTCAACAGTGCAAAATCACCAGCGACTATGGCTGCAGTTCGACAAAGCTTACCCTCTGCGTTTTGCGATAATGAGAATCAGGCAAAGGTCAACGAGCATCTAAAAGCCGTTCAGGAGCAAGTCGCCCAGCACTTTAATTGGGGTCTGGACAGGATTGAGAAAATCCTGCCATGTACGCCTTATCAGCGTGATGTGATAGATCATGCTATCAAGAATGATCAACGTACTGTCGGCTACACCGTCTATGAGGTTCTGAACAACATGGATATTGAAAAACTGGCCGCAGCTTGGAAGGAAGTGATACGTTGCGTTCCGGCCCTACGAAGCCTCGTATTTACATCGGAATCCGGGGAGCATTTTCTTGTAGTGCTTTCTGAGAGCTTTACTTGGATACGCTTGGATAACCCAGATGTGAATCAAGCCCTCTCTCAACAAGAGGCGACCGCTCCTCTGATTGGATCCGATTGCAATCGATTCAGCATTCTTCACAACCCAACGAAAAAACAAAATCTTCTTATTTGGACATTTAATTACGCCCTTGTGGATACATTTTTTCAGGAACAAATCCTTAAGAGGGTTCTCATGGTCTACGATGGCGGTGATGTGGAAAGATTTCCAGGGATTGAGGCACTAGCGACGTTTCAGGCTGAAAACATGGAAAGAGCGGCAAATTTCTGGAAGCAATACCTCGATGGCTTGGACGCCTCCTTGTTTCCTGTTTTGCCGTCCGGCCTAACTTTGCCCCGTCCAAATTCCCAGGCGCAGTATCGCACATCTTTTCCAACTCTTGCTCAACAGAAGTGGAAAAATACAATTGTTGTTCAAGCCGCACTCGGTGTACTTCTCTCGCGATATACAAACTCTTCCGAGGCACTATTTGGCATCATGGTGGAGCGACCCCCCCTGTTCGAAGGGAAAGAGTGGCCAATAGACGGTGCAACTCGAACTATTGTGCCAAGTCGTATAACTTGCCGTTTTGACCAGTCTGTGTCAGATCTCATGCAGACGATCACCATCCACGACTCCGCTATGCGGGAGTTTGAGCAGATTGGTATTGACAAAATCCGTCTTACTGATAGTTTTGGGGATACGGCTTGCGAAATCCAAACTGTATTGGTGGTTTCTGGGGATCGAGATGCGCCGAGCCCTCGGCTACATGAGGTCGTCGCTGGAGAATTGAACAGATTTGTACCCTACACTAACTATGCCCTCTTACTCAACTGTCACATTGTCAACGGTTCAGCATTGCTAAATGCACGATACGATTCTCGTGTCGTCGACGATGCCCAGATGGCTCGTTTTCTGCGACAGCTCGGGTCCTTGATCACTCAATTTCAGAGTAACTCGACCAGCCTTCTCATACGAGAGGTTGACACTACGACGCAGGAGGACCGATTAGAAATTGAGAAGTGGAATTCAAAACGGCTTCGGACGACAGAAGTTTCCATTGATGAAGTTGTATCAAAGAGAACTGCCCGTGCACCAGGTGCCATCGCGGTGAATGCCTGGGACGGGGAATGGACATACGCCGAGCTGGAAGCCTTATCTTCTTCCCTCGGAAAGTATCTTCAAAGTCTTAATTTGGATTCTGGGCACGTGATACCCTTGTGCTTCGAAAAATCCAAGTGGACAATCGCTGCGATGTTCGGTGTGCTCAAAGCCGGTTTGGCTTTCACACTTGTTGACCCTACCTTTCCTGCAGCTAGAATTGCTCAAATTTGTCGGCAGATTTCCGCCACAGTTGCTCTTTCTTCGAAGCTTCACTTCGACACTATGTCGACTCTTGTGTCTCATCGGATCATAGTCGATGATACATTTTTTCAGTCGCTATCTGAAAACATGAACGTAGCTACAGCTTGTTCGAAGCCACAAGATTTGGCTTATGTCATTTTCACTTCGGGAAGCACGGGAGATCCCAAAGGCAGTATGATTGAACATAGAGGGTTTGCCTCTTGTGCACTGGAGTTTGGAAGCGCACTCGGAATTGGCAGTCACACACGTGCACTTCAATTTGCCTCCTACGCGTTCGGCGCATGCCTTCTGGAAATCATAGCTACCCTCATGCATGGTGGTTGCGTTTGTGTTCCTTCCGAAGAAGATCGCATGAACAATTTGCCCGGTTTTCTCAGAATAAGTAAAGCCAATTGGGCAATACTCACACCTTCTCTGGCTCGAGGTATTGAACCTGAAAGTGTCCCTGGACTAAGAACACTGGTATTGGCGGGGGAACCAATGACAGCAGACATAAGAGATATCTGGGCTTCACGAGTTCAACTTATCAACGGATACGGCCAAAGTGAGAGTTCAACGATCTGCAGTGCTACCAAAATCAATTTATCCATTGCTGAGCCAAACAGCATCGGTCATGCAGTAGGTGCCCGCTTCTGGATAGCCGAGCCTGAAAATACCAATAAGCTTGCACCAATCGGCGGTATTGGCGAGCTGATCATCGAGAGTCCAGGAATTGCGCGTGGATACGTGAATCCTCCACCACCAGATGAGTCTCCCTTCCTCATGACGGTTCCTCTTTGGTATCGCCCACGACATCCGCTTGATACTTTCAAATTTTACAGGACTGGAGACCTCGTCTGCTACAGATCGGATGGTACTGTTGTATATCTAGGGCGTAAAGACCTGCAGGTCAAGATCCGAGGACAGCGAGTCGAGATCGGTGACGTCGAAACCCACTTACGACAGCAGTTGCCAGATCATATGATACCCATTGTAGAGGCTGTCAAGATACCCAATGCATCTGAAAGCAGAGTTTTGATTGCTTTTCTTGTAGGTGCATTCAAAAAGGACGAAAAAATACCTAATGCTATCTCGGCAGCGACTTCTTACATCTTGAGCAGCAGTGATGCAGCTCATATATCAAGGAAGTTGCGAAAGGTTCTTGTTCCGTATTCTATTCCCTCTTACTATATTCGACTGCATCGTTTGGTCACCACTGCTACTGGGAAAACAGATCGAAGAAAGCTCCGGGCAATGGGTAGCAGTCTGTTAACGGAGGAAATAAAGAACAGAGCATCTGAGATGACAGCGAAAGCCAATGAAACGACTGGTGTAAACCATAATCTACAACAGGTTTGGATTGAAGGACTTGGTTTAGCACCTCACTCCATCATGCAGAAAGCAAATTTCTTCGAACTTGGTGGAGATTCAATCATAGCAATCAAAATGGCAAACATAGCCAGAGGACTTGGCCTGGAGTTGAAAGTAGCGGATATTATGCTGAATCCAACATTCGAAGACCTTGCTCACACTATTAATCACGGTGTCAGGCCGCACATTGCTGCCTCGACAACATATAGCGGACCTGTAGAGCAGTCATTCGCACAAGGCCGTTTGTGGTTCCTGGATCAGCTTCATCGAGGCTCGCCCTGGT